GCTCGAGCAACAACCCTAATCTGTGTTCATATCCTGACGATTTGTTTTCCCAATTCGCATTTCGGGGGAATGGGTGTTCCAGATTCCGCTCTACTCCTGCCAAATCGGATCAACGAAAACCAACGGTGCCGGCGGAGGATTTTACCCAAACTTCAGAACCAAATCATCAAGCCTCAGGGCACGAGATTCCGATTTTGACTCTTGAGGATCTTCAAGATGTTCACCAGTCTTCTAAACCAAACCATGAGATTCCTATATTAACTCTAGAGGATCTCCACAATGCAAAACCATTCCGTCAAACCATACAAAATCCTCGATCGCCTCGTACAATCTTAAATCTTTACCGAAAGTTCGGATTTGATATAAAATTGGTGCAAAAAACTTCACCTCTTGTCCGACATTCAGAAGCAGTTCAACACGGGGTACGTAAAGGAGAACCAATTGTCTCGCGCTACTTCCAGAGCTCGGAGGATGAGGATTTGGATTCCAATGTCACAAACCGCTCAAATAAAAGATTAATGGTGGGAGATTACAGCGGAAGGGGGAGGAATGACGTAGCCCCCACCTCCGGTACTACAAAAGCAAATCAACATTCAGTGGGAACAGATTTACCCTCTTTCCAAAACTCAGGAAAGAATCAAGAAGGAAACTCATTCAAAAATTCCAAACCAAACCAAGAAGGAGAGCGAGTAGTTTCGCGTTTCTTTCAAAAATCAGCAAAACAACAAGCCGTGAACAATCAGGAGGGTGCAGAGGAGTCAAATCAGTGTGCAAGATGTGTTAAAAGAAAACGTAAACGAGCCAAGGAAAGGAAACGGACAAGTAAAAGAAATTCTTCAAGACCTAGGACCACTCTTTCTGCTGCCGAGTTGTTTTTGGAAGCTTATAGAAGGAAATCCTCAGATGACACATGGGACCCTCCTCCCTCTGAAATTCGCCTTCTCCAACAGGATCATGCGTACGACCCTTGGAGGGTTCTACTCATATGTTTGCTTCTTAACCGGACAAGTGGGCGGCAGGTATTTAGTTTACGCTTTTCTTTTTCTTGATCTTCTATGCAATTCACAATTTCCAATTTCGTACCCTGCTATCTTGTCCCCATAGCATATAAACTTGATTTGCTTTCATTACAGTTTTGCCACTCCACGACTATGTAGCATGACTTTCATAACGATATCTTTCATACAAATAAACAAGAAAAGTGGATAAATATCATTTCATTTCAACCAATTCAATTTCCATATTCGCTCTATCCTTTGAAGACGTTTTGTTAGGTATCCCCAGTATTCTTTACGTATGGAAATATATCAAAAGAGTTGCAAGCATGGTACCGAACTCCCAGTCAATTCGAGAGGGCCGGCTGCTCTCTACACTCTTCATACTGGGCAAAAGACACACCATGACTAACTAACGGCTCCCCCAGCCCATATAAACGCGGTATTGCTTCTAACTAACCGTCAGAGGCTACACTACCCATTCTACCCCTCTTCTCATACACCGTACACATTCATAGCAGGGCATCTAAGTCTCAGGATCTCGTTGTTTTATTTGGTAGTTGAAATAATTGGGGATAATTGTGGGGATTTAGCCCGTGCGAATCAGAAAATATTAACATGCCTGACTTCTTGACAGCATGTATTGGAGTAAGGAAATCTTGTGGATTTATCCTAGCCCAAGTAGTGATTGAACATCCAAAAGAAGGAAGAATTGAAGCAAGTGGTGGTGGTCAACCCCTTTAAGATTTCTGGCCAGGAAGTGCTACAATTTTCAAAGTTGCTTTAGGACCATCGTGTAGCTCCCCACATGCCAAAAGCAAAAAAAAACCCGTGTCTACTTCGAGTGCTACTTCTAATGAATTTTTGTTCTTGTTCTTCAATTGTGAATCGTGATTAACTCTTTTTTTCTTGTTTTCATGCAAAATTTTAAAGGAAATTCTTTATATTTGTGTTGTAACTCTTCAAATATCAATGAAAATGTTAGACCTTAGGTGGCAGCCACGTTTTAAATTAACCGTTTTATTTGGTTTCTTTATGTTAGGGAAGTTACAACTTCCTTAGGTAGTTATATGGTTTTTGTTGCTGTTTCTTTATTATGTTGCTTTTGGTAAAGACGGGGTTTATGTATTTTGTGTGTTTTGTTAAAGAAGTGTGGAGAGTTAGATGACCCTCTCGAATTGGTCATCCACTAGTTGATTTGCCTTGTGTTTGTAAGGTTGATTTTGATAGGGAACCCTATTAGAAAACTGTCTTGTGATTAAAAGAAAATCTAAAAAATTGTGGTCCTACATTCTACGAGAGCTAGAGGGCTCAAGTTTCTGATATGTGTATCAATCATACAAATGTAAAAATTTGTAATACCATCGTTGATGCACATGTTCATTGCTTAAAGGGTGAAGTTCCTATACCTGGTATTTGGTCTGCGGTCGTGCCAGTATGTTGGAGCTATTGGCCCTGCATGTATATATAAATGGTGGGGAAATAAAAAAAACGATACAATGAAAATTTAGAGCAAATGTGATTGCTACATTAACTGTTGTCATTTCTTGTTTCTGTTCCAACTTGGTAACTTATAATTGATCATTTAATTTCTGTGGACAACAGACATTTGGGTAGGTCAAATATTTAACTTTTTCTTAATAGTGGGGTGATCTCAATGCAGCCTTTTACTCCGGTCTCAAGCCAAAGAAAAGATGGTTCAAAGATGGCTGCTCTTCCCTCTAGTATCATTGATTTGAGATTTTTTAGGGTATTCCAGAATCTATTGGGGTTTGTGAATGAGTTCTTAAAGGGGATCCATCCCTTTCCTCATGGTATTGTTAATTCAACTAATGATGATGCTATTAAAGGTGTGCTTTCAACAAGGAAAATTTGAATTTGAGTGATGATTCGGATGTTAGTGTCAGTATCATTGATTCAGATTTCAAAAGGATTCTAGATAGTCCGAAGATCTAAGTGAATAATAGGGCTTTTTCATCCTTATTCAAGGGGCAATTCCTCCAGCATAAGTTATGTGCTCAACCCTATGGAAGCTGCAAATGAATTTTTAGATACTATTGAAGACCTGTCACAATTTTTCATGTAGGGGTTTGTTTTCAAATGTTTCTTGTGGTGTTTAGTAGCTTTTTTGAAGGGAGTTGGAGCTGCCTCTGTTACATGTGTTTTCTTGGCTCTCTCTTCCATAGATTTGTTTTTTTGGCAGTGGTTTTAGAGTTCTTGTATTTCGAGGGATATGGTTTTTGCGTCAGTGGCTCTTCAGCTTTGCTGTTTTACTACTGGGATAATTTTGTTTGATTCTCCATTTAGATGCTTTTGCTTAGTTCATCCATGTTTTATTTTGACTTTTGTAATTTTTTGGGACATTTTCTTTATTGGTTTAGTTGCTTGTGATTTTCACTCCTTTCCGTTAGTACCATTGAACTTCTTTCTTCATTTTATCTATAAAAAGAATTGGTAATTTCATCTCTTTGGTTTCTGATTTCGCACTATTTAGTCCTGTAGGTTCCACTTTCCTGAAAACTTTCAGTTCAACTCTTAGTCTGACCTATCATTTTGAAATTTGCAGGCAAAAGATGTGATACCTAAACTCTTCACTTTGTGTCCCAATCCAAAGGCTGCTTTGGAGGTATCACATGAGCAGATAGAAGATATTATTCGACCTCTTGGTCTACAAAGAAAAAGATCACGAACAATTCAGCGTTTGTCTGAGATGTATTTAAAAGAAAGTTGGAGTCATGTCACTCAGCTTCCTGGTGTTGGCAAGTAATTTGGACTATCCTTCTACGCTTTTTGGTTTATTTTTCTGTCTCTTTGGTGCTTATTTTAGTAATATTCCAAAACTCAAATGATGAATCCATCCATCATTAAAGCCTTATGATGGTGGTGAAACACAAACACAAACACCTTCTCAACTTACTATGGATGGCTGCTTGATAATATGTATGCTTTCTCTTAATATGTATGGAAGAGGGTGGTAGTGGTTTTGGATGGCATTCGGTGCTATTCTTTTCCCTTTTGGGTCGAAAAATCGTATTTTTCTTTACGGATACACCAAGACAAAAGTATTCTTTTTTCCTCAGAAACTGAACCAGCCATTAATATTTCCATATTTAAGCCATGTTTCTTTGGAAAAAATGAAAATGTTTGAGTGGTCAACCTTATTTTTTGGAATTGACCACACAAGCAAATTGTGGAAGAACTTGGTGTTAAGCCGCCCATTGTAAGAGTGTCTAAGAGAAAGGGTAAGAAGGAAAATATGGCCTCAGAAATAGCCTTAGAAGTTAGTTAGGGCCTAGGGGAGCATAGACTGATATATAGTTATGAAATGTGCAAGTGAAAGTAGGTTAGTTTTTGTGTGTGGGTGGGAGAGAAGTTAGCACTCTCGATTGGACTAGCCTAGTGGATGTTTTCTGTACTTGTTATCTGTTAAAACATGATATTGAAAATTCTTGTTTGATTCGTACCAATTTGGTATTTGAGCTTGTTACAATTGAGGAGAAGAATGATACTGGAAGTAATGGACAAGGAGACGAGGGAATTGAAGGAGAAACTTCAAAGATAACTTGAACTGGAACTTGCAATGGAACAACTCGCATAAATTGCAACTAGGATGTATGTACTTATAATACTGTGGCTAAAATCATTTTAGAGCCCATCTTTAGAAAGCAAAATCAATTATGGAAATGAAATTGGAGGGATCAGTGTAGAAGAGGAGAACAGTTTGAGGAATGAAGATGGTTGCATAAAGAAGGGAAGATTGTAGAGCAAGAAGTATTACAGATTATATGGTGGAGTCAAATATGTAATATTGCACCGAATACTTGATTGGAGAAAATTCATGAAGGTTGAGCTGCCCTTTATTTCACAAGAGAATTTGAAATTCTGGCTTTTTCGTATGGAGCGCTGTTCTAAATAGGCATGTTAACAAATTTGGAAAAGTCGTTTGTACAATTCATACATGACTAACAATGATCTTAAGGATGCCCCAAAGCTTCACAACATTCTTCAATAACAGTCGAGCTGTCATCTTGATAGAGCATAGCTTGGTCGTGGAAATAAAACTAGTGTACTCCAAAAAGCCGTAGGGATGTGAGTTATGAAATCTAGAGATACAACTCTCCAAAGGCCTTTGATAGAACTGGTAATGGTTCAATGTGATCCACAGTTTTGGTTCATTTAGCTTTATTCGGGTGGAAGACAAGACTGAAGACACACGTCCTTGCATACTGCATCACATAATCACGCATGTTAGGCCAATAACATCCCTTCAACAATGCATAAGTTTGTTACTAACCCTGGACTTGCCCACTAGGTATCATGGCATTCTGACAAGTCTCATGTGAATAGGAGATCCTCTCCCATCCAAATCTTGCACGTTGTTCTCTCAGCTAATTGTACAATGACTTGGATGGTTGGGGTCTCCCTTGAGAAGATCTTTGATGGATTCTTGGATAGCTCATTTTACTTGCTGCATATGAGCTAACATGTCTAGGGCCGCATGGTCTCTTTTGACTCAAGCTCGAGGTTAACTTAGGTTGGTTGGAGAAGTGCCACATACACTATTATTATCTCTTTCCCTATAGTTTTGTATTGAGCTTGGTGAATTACCTCGATTTCTCTATTTCTTATTGTATTTCTCATTGTTCTATAGTTCTTAAGCCATAAAGATATGTATGCAGGGATTTAGTAAACAGAAAGCTTATAGTTATAGGTTAGAAGAAGCTAACTGTGTCGCAAGACCTGTATAGTTTTCTCATTGTTGATAATTTTTCCAAACCAGTTTTATGAGGCTTTCCATCATGACTTTCTACATTGTATCATTGAGCTTATGAGGTGCGTGTTTAAATTGATTTGAGACAGGTATGGAGCTGATGCACATGCAATATTTTGCACTGGGTATTGGGACCAAGTATTACCTAAAGATCACATGCTTAATTATTACTGGGAGTTTCTCCAGAGCATAAAGGAACACCTCTGATCTTATCCTGACTGTAGATGGTTTTGTACGAGAGCACACAAGTTATAAATTTCAGGGCCTACTTGTCCCCATATCTATATATATTTTTGAGTGTTAATATTTTAGAAAACCAAAGTTTTGTGCTCTGGGTTTTGTTTTTTGTTGTTAGAAGGAAGGGAGGGGGATGGGAATCTTGTCTGATTATGGATGATTTTGTTATGGTGACCAGGTCTTGTTTTACTTGTTCACTTGTTGGAAGTTGTTGGTAAATGGCACCAAGCAATTATCTGTTTCAAGCTAATCAACTTTTGAAAACAAATAATGTAATAATTATTCATGATTTCATGTAGAATTTGACATAGGTAAAACATGATTTATCTTGTTAATAATTGATATAGATATAAAATTCTAGAATAATGGTTCCATACAAGAAATGAACTCAAAATCATATAAAGCTATCAATAAGCTTGCTTAATGCGAATAATTTGCAGAAAACTTCTATTAATAGGAATGTTATTTCCCACGGTTTGAATCCATACTTTTATTTAGGAATGTTATTCCCTAGACTCTATATATATATATAATTAAGAAAATACACATATATGAATAAATTTGGGTTGGGTTGGGTTGATCCGATTTTTAAAAGTTGAACTCGAGATCCAACCCGCCCGATCGGGTTGGGAAAATCACGACCCAACCCAACCCGAGGCTTCATCTAACCCAACCCAACCCTTATGGTTTGGGTTTGATTTATCGGGTTCGTCGGGTTTTTTGAACACCCCTAATCTATTTGTTATTGTTTTCTTCATCTCTAGACTCATCATTCACCATTTTATTATCTTCATAAAACTGTGTCATTCTTTTAAAGATTTGATGAATTATTAAAATTCAAATGTCAATAAATGTATATATAATTATTCAACTCAATTATCAAAATTAGAAGGTCAAATTGAAGAATTATGAAATTTAGAAGGGCAATACATATATATATCACTATGTAACTGAATTATTAAAATTAGATGATCAATTCATGTATATAACACAATGCAACTCAATTATCAAAACTAAGAGATCAGTGTGTGTGTGTGTATGTATGTATATATATATATATATATATATATCAATGTAACTCAATTATTATAAATCTATCAATGTAACTCAATTATCAAAATTAGGATGTCAATACATGTATATACTAATTGAAGAAGTATCAAATAA